CTACAGTTCATTAAATAAAATGTGAAACACACCTGGTGGGCTAATGGAGGTCAAATGTAAAAGCAGCAGCATGAAGGTTTGGGGATGTGGCAATTAAAGACAAAGCAACATTTAGCCTCTCTGTGACAGGTTAATGAAATGTCTGCTGCTAAGTGTTGGTGAAATGCGACTCACAGTCACACAGTGAAGCCTCTCCTGTAGTCGGGAGTCAGGGATGTGACAGTGTTGTATCAGTGTCACTGAGAGCAATCATAACATTCCTTTCCTCCGAGTCCAAAGGTTGTTTTGAATTCCCTTGGCAGCCGAATGCTTCAGGGGGTCAAATACACCAAATCTCTGAACAATAATGGGCCAACTATCAGTTACATCACTCACCTGGCATCATTGGCCGGCATTACAAGTATATTTTTTTCCAGTTCTGCATACTTGACAGTGAATGCTTTTGAAATGGGAATAATGTAATCTGTGCCGAAGATATCTTCTACTTTTGTGCATCTATCCAAGAAGTGAATGGTTAGACCTATCAGTTACTCTCTGGAGGTGATGTATGCACACTCTTTCAAACAAGGCCACAAACAGATGAAGGCTATAATATGCTGCCTATTCCTGCTCTCTCAATTTGAAGGGTTATTTTGTTTTCTTTTTGAAAAACTATTTAGGTGCCAACAAATCCTTGAGAAACACTTTAATTGTTGATCAAACTACCGTAATAAGAAATAACATTTTCAAGTGCTCAGGGAGAAACCTCAAGTTAAATTGAACATTTAAAATATAGAGAAAGAAAACTTCATTGTGAAATATAAAAACAGATGAGCCACAAAGAGAAAATATAGCTATACTAACACAAATAAAAATGTACATAAACTAAACCAATTTCACAAAAAGTTCTATGTTTACATGACTGATGGGAGTCACAAGACATACTTTTCCAATGCAAGACATATCGCTTTGACATTATCTTCAAGATGTTAAAGTTTTTATTCTTTGACTGTGATCTGCGTCGGATTATCCGCCTGGCTGTCTATCTGTATTACCTTTTCATTTTCACACTGACAGTCTGAAGAATAAAGACACAGGGTTTAAATATATCTTCCTACTGAATGGACATTCTTCACCAGATGTGCAACAGATAGTGTCAGTGTAATCTCCCAAAGCAACAGAATCAACTCTACTATGTTTTTATAAAAAAAAAAAGAATAATCCTCAAAGATTACGATTCAAACCATATTTGAGGTTTGACTCTTTTCCAAACTTTTTTTTAATTATTACATTTTCTAGGGGGAAAACAACAAGAAATCATTTTAAGAGTTTAGTATTTTTCTCAGCCAATGGAATTCCAAAGTTTAAAACAGATACGTACTTAGAAGACGACAAAGCCATTTGCACAATTATAGAGGGGCATTTAGTAAACTCTGTCCCACTTTATCAGGCATCTCCAGCATTGTCCATTGGGAGTTAACTTTCAGACTGTTTACTTGTTCAAAGGCCAGGCCTGCATCTGAGGCCACATAGGCAAGATAATGTATCCCAGGCTACAGAAGCAGTCAAATCACTGTGCATTAAGACTAGGCACACAATAGACAACAATGGCTTGCATAAACACTATTTAGAACTATTCAGCAGGCATTGAAGAGATGGGCGTCGACTCACTATTGCTGCAAAGCCGGCGCATTGTGTGGAGGTGAAAAGAAGTCTAATGAACAGGAAGCCTTATTTGAGAGAGCTGACAGTAACCATACAACAGCCGCATTGTGCGCTTGCCACCAACCCTGTGGGTCTCTACATTAGGAGAAATGATGAGAAAGTAACCCGAAAAGACACAGTGGACCCTTGGACCTACGTAAATGCAACCAGACAAAAATGTGGGACACAAGCTGTCCCCACCTTTACCCAAAGCTGCACGTTTACATGCACAGAACATCAACCGCTCTCATGGCCAGGGATAAAAGCCCCCTGGCCAGAGGGAACTTTGAAGTATATTTGGGTTAGTTTACCTCCAAAGACTGCAATTTTGGTGCAGCAGCAGTTAAAATATATGTCATACATTTTAAATTATATCAAACTCTGCAAGGGGAAAGTTGGAAACTCTTTGGTGCACTAGGTCTCCTCCTCCTCCTCCTCCTCCACACATTCACACTCACATTATGCCCCCTGCCTCAAGCTTCATCAATCTTCCACAAAGGGGTGACATCACCAATAAGCATAGCCCTTTATAGCTTTAAGCAATAAGCCGTATTTACTGATGAGATAAGCCCTCTGCTATTGTCTAGCCCTCCACTTTGGTTCTTTCTCTCACTGTTGAAGAATCAAACAGCACTTTTTGAAGGTGACAGAGCATGCCCAGGATTTAAGGCTAAAGCATGCAAAGAGGTTTCCTATTTGGTGGCCTTTCAAAGGACCACATTAGCCAGTTTAGTTCAAAGTAGCAGGGGCAGGTGAAATTACAAAAAGAATCCAGGCTTCTTTGAAACCACTTGTTTGGTGTTACATTTGAGTGAAATTATCCAGAGCATATTAAATGTACTCACACTCTACAGAGCTTGAAACAAACCACAGCCTGGGGAGGTTACGAAGCACAATCATCCATTACACATGTGACCTGTAATTACTGTTTGTAGCAGTATTAGTGAGCCAGTCCAGTGTGGTCACTAAACTGCTGAGACACCGTGATACAGTGAGGCTTATTAAGACTCACGTGTGCAAGCATGGGAAGAACTATGTGGCAGTTTCTGTTTTTTGAAGATGAAATAGAAGGTATACAGTAAGACGTTTAATAAGTTGCAAATCAATACAACATATTTGGTAGTTTCTACTTTCACAAAGTCTGTTGGAAAAACTAAATCTAACTAGGTTGCTGCGACATACTATAAAATATAGCATCCTTATTTCAAATTGATAACCTATTTTTAACAAGATAAAAAGCCGTTTTCTAAACAGACATGTAGTGTCACTACATGTATCTTGAAAACATGCCATTTGTTGTTTGTTTTTCTTAGCTCCCCACAGAGTCATGTCAGGCCTTGGGAACTTGTCAGATATTCAGTTTGTAGTCACTTTAGAAAGGCTGAGCGCAGAGTCTCCGGGGAATCGCTCCAGTCTCCCCATCTCCCCCACCCCATGTCACCAGCCAGGAACAAAGCCGCCATAGTCAATTCTCCTAATTTCACTGCAGCCTGTCGAAATCCTGTTCTCCTTTTCTCATTCTCTTCAACAAGTACTTTATGCTGGGATCAGTCAGGTCTGAGTCGCCCACAAAAACCTGAGGCTCTTGCTTCATCGTCTTTCAGCACCGAGTTTGACACTCCCCAACTCCCTGCCATTCAGGCGCCTGCACCATGCAATTTGTTTCCATTTGTCAAACAGCAGTATCCATCACAAAAGAAAATGCTGGCACAACAGAAAGTTTGTGAAAAACATTGTTTCCTCAACCCAAAATGGCCTCAACACTACTTATTTATGGGCCCATAACAAAACAACCTTAAACAATTTACACCATTTCTGTTGTTGTGGATACTTGTTACATTATTCTTCCCTCGACTGACAATAAAAACGTCTTTAACAGAATAGGACGCGTATCACATCCTCAAATCAGCACCAACGTATCACTCCTCTCTTAAAGTGTGGATGGGCTAAATGCTACGGTGTGAATGCATCATTTCACTCGCCGATTCCACATTGTGCAGACTCCTTTTTTGTGTTTTATTTCTTTGGGATTACACTTCATTGTAGGGACAGCCAGGTTTCTCACACATTTATTTATTAAAGCCATATCGGCACTATGTTGACGGCATTGCTATTTGGACACCTATTCAGATACGTCGTAAAATGGTGCTATTATTGGGGGACGTCGGAAGGTATCTGGTTAATAATACTTATTGTGCAAACTTTGTTGTCGCCATTCTTGTGTCGGCTGTTATCGAGGGGAGAGCAGAGAGGATATATGCTGACTCTGATGTAGATAGTGCTATGAGTATTCCTATTGTGGCAGCTGCCGTGTGGCGCAGTCCCTGATAGGATTTTGAATGCTGTCAATGCTGTGTCAGGTGCATTAGCACCTCAGAGACCCATGATGCTCCAGCTGCTCTGGGCCTGTGTCTCCCCGGGCCCTGGCTGCCAGCCTGACACCAGACACAAAGTAATCACAGATCACAGCGTTTAATCACTGAAACAAGCACTCCAGAGGACCTCTCTGTCAATATCCCACTCTCTCATTATCTGTTTGGATTGCACATCCACACTGTCAGATAAACAGAGTGGAAAATTAAGATTAAAAATATGGTAATTTCATTTGAGGCAGCAGGCTCCTCTCACTGGCCCATTATGCTATTGATTACCTCTGAATTCAATTTCTCTTTTCAATGTAAACTTTAATCTATTCGTGAGCCAACAATTCAACTCCCAAGGGGCTATTTGAGAGTAAGTAACCATTTAATATGACGCTGGCTGAAGATTCACCGGCTTTAATGAATTGTGTAAATCACTCAGCTTTTAAAGGAACTGATGTCCCGCAGTTCACCACCCAAATCTGGGCCTGGTTAAATACAGCCTTTATAGCAAGCTAAGTGTTTACTGACAGCAATCTCTGAACGCATAATCACCAGCTTTGCTCTTTTCTGTATGAAAGGGAATTAAACAGCTCGTTTCTAATTGCGCTGGTGATGAGAAAATCACAATTTAATTGGGGGTGTAATCATCATATTGCACCAGCTTTCTAAAATAACAGAGTAAATGGCTGTACCATTTTACCATCATAGAAATCAGTTGACTCAAGAAGATAATCACTAGGTTGTTCTCCTTAACCACTTACCAATTTGTAGCATCTTGGTCAAGACCACTGTACTGAAGCAAACACCATTCAGACAGCTGAACACAGGCTGAGCAACAGCAGAAGGAAATGGTTATTGAGGGAATGTTTTGAGCCAAGATAATGGTTTAAATGCAAAATGAAGACATTTATTTTTAGAATTCTTTTTATTTACTACTAAACTACAAAGTGCAACTCCATCAAATATGACATATAACAAAACAATACATTTACTGAGAAAACAATGTAAGTACATATGGAGCTATAAATAGTCATACTAAACGTCCTATTACTGCCAAAGAAACAGCTAAGCTATGCTATGCTTTAAAAGCAACAAAAGCCTATTTTACAAAAATAGGGGGAAAGTTGATAGTCTCTAAAATGTATTAGATGCAACACACTTCTGTCCCACGTTTCTTAGTGTTGGTCATTGTGATTGCCCGTACATGAAATGTTACATTCAAATTGTACTCTTCTCTCTTGACAAGAGTTGAGGTAGACATATAACCACTATCGTTTAAGTGCTGGAAGGATACTTAATTAAAGCTGCAATTAAAAACAAGAATCAATAGTCTGATTAAGGCACAATAATTACTGAGAACATCTCTCCTCTCACATTCTCCAAGTCTTTTCAAGCATTTCCTGAATAATAAAAACGCCTCAGACCTATTGCACAATGTGTGCCTTAAAAGAATGATTTAAGTCACCAATAATTTATTGCACCAGGATAATCACATCCAATATCTGCACTCTTTTGAGCACCGGTGCAGGATTGAAGCTACCCAAGAGGCCAGAACACACATACATAAACATAGCGGGGTGTAATCAATAAACAGCCATGCAGTAAAATCCTGTCAGTAAAAAGGCACACCCTGCCTCAGCTAGTTGTTCTATATCAAAAGATTACGCCAATCAAACACAGCACATACTACACACTAGCTACTGGGAATCTAAATACATTTTAATAAACAGGAAGGAATGTAAGAATATCCAGAAAAAGATTTGGTCAGTGATGGCGAGTACGAGGTCCACAGCGACTCTCCAAACGGTCAAAGAGACGTCTCAAAGATGACATGGATGTCCTTGGCACAGTGCACGTCTGCCACTCGCTTTTTGTTGATGTAAACCTGGAAGTGCATCAGGGAAGCAGTGTCACAGAACACAAGCACACAGTCCAATCTAAGCTACGATCTATTTAGGGTGTGATTCATGACAGATCCAGTCAGAGCTGGGTGAAGGGATTTGTCACCCGCTCAAGCATGCAAAAGTGGCTTATTTAGCTCTGGGAAATTCACGGTAGAAAATATCAGAGATAATCACTGAAATTATTTGTTCCATTTGAGTTCATTTTCACCTGTGTGTTTGCTTACAAAATACATGGTTTCTTACTACAAAGAGGCTCTGACAGACCAACGATAAGAGAAAGTTTGAGAAAAAGAGGAAAACAGGTGAAAACAGGTCGGCCTCAGAATGAGATATACCTTCTGCTCTGGGATTCTCTTTCAACACGGACAAAGGAGCTAGAGGTTGATATCAGATTATTGAATGTATTTAAACCTTGACTGACAACTATAGAAACTTGACACACAACATGTGGACCATCTCAGTATTTAATAAGTGGTGCTAGACAGTTATGGATGCCGTGGTAATCTGATCTAAGCAGAGCACCCTACAATAAAGAAAGGAAAACGTAAGGGCTTGAACAATGTCACTACCAATCCGCCAGTGTACAGGGTAAGACGATACCGAATAATACCACAGTGTGCTGAGTCTTTGAAATCAGTATTTTACTCATTTCACTCCTCTGGCGGAGGAGATACAGTTCCGCTGATAAATTTGTGCGAGGGACAGAGAGAAAATGAAATGATGCCTACTTTTTCTTATTTCACAAAGACCTGTTTGAAGTTGCAATATGGTATCTGAAGTCCCAGACAGATGCACATAAAATGGAATTGAACAATGAATAGCCAGCTCTTATCTGTTCAGTGTCTGAAGGGGAAATACATCACAAATGAATTTCACAGGGAAAAAATATGGACATTCTCCATTACAGTAATCCCCATAGAAAGTTTATCCCAAATCGCGATGAAGTTAAACCCAATATTTCCAAATAGATGTAGTGCAAAGAAAGCTGCTTTTCTGGAATCATCTCTAAAATGATCTCAAAATTACATTATGAGAAAAAGATTATACGGGGAGTTTCTTTGATAAAATCAGGGGATGGAAATCTACAAAGGGAACAATTTTTCTCTTGAAATTAATGTTATGGTGTTGCATTGCTCCGAGTAGGCACTTTAAATTAAAATGGTAATCAAGTGTCTTTGCATTGTCAGGGTAATGCACATCTTCTCTGCTTAACTGTATCATTTTGGAGGTAAGCAATGAAGACTGGAGTTAAAGGGAGAGTCTGGGATTAGTGTGGCACGGCTGGACTCTATTTAGTCACAAGCCAGTCCTGGGACAAAGGTGGGTGTGGTTACCTGTCTGGCTGTGTGTAGCAGTGAGGCGGCCTCGGCTCTGCCTGTCTGTTGGACCATCTGGTAAAAGAGCCCTTCCTGGTTCTGGAGCAGCACATATGGCTCGTCATACTCCTGGATCCTGCCGGCATCTAGAACCTGCAATCACACATACAATGCTGGGTGTGAGTGGGCATCACTGCACGTATACTTTACTTTGGGGAAAACTGACACATCAGCTGTTTCCCTGCTGAGCGATGCATGCAGACAGTGCAAGATGAATGGGGGGAACGGTAGTCTCTGCACATAGGAACCATCCATTTCATGTGACTCATGCAACAGCAAACATTGGTGCCTGTTTGTCCTCAACAGGGTGACTGACAATGAGCGTGTCCTGTTAGCAGTGTGAAAGTCAAGCACGCTGACTCTGACAGACTGAAGATCAGTGATTTATCCATGTGTTTATCCTGGCGTTTCAGCAGCTCAGGGGTGGTCCTCAGTCAAATCCAACAATCACACCTTTAAGACACTCTAGTCAATTACCATCATTTCTGTGTCATCACATGCCATATAAACCACACAACGAATAGTGCCAATTCAAGCAGTTTGGAAAAGACTACAATTATATCACAGACAAATTTTAACAAGCTCCATCCCCTTACAGTGGTAATGAGCAGTTTGTTATCACTAAAGCCAAGTTTCAAGGTGTATTAAGTATGAAAGGGAGACTTCTGCAGCTGCTGTCATAATAAACAGGATACAAGGAGATGGAGTTTGTATTTTGGAAACATTATGCGTCTAAATATGGCAAAGCTTAAGATTAGACCATGCAATCCAGGTGGGGCCAAAACAATTCTCCCAGAGTGTGCAACAATCTGGGGGCATATATAACGCGGGTGTAGGTGTGAAACAGTCCCCCGCTGTGAGATATTTGGCTTTTCCTCAGCAACCCTCTCAGAGACCGAGCAGCCACAAGGTTGTGCCCTGTCCTCCATAGACGCTTAACAAATGCTGCCACAAATGGCACTAATTGGCACCTCTGCAGGCAGTAGAAGGAGAGGGCCAAAGATCAAGTGGCCTGAGCAGAGGCTCAAAAAGGGAACGCTGTGAGGGTGAATCAGGCCAGCTGTTGCAAAATAGAGCAAGTGAATTAAAAGATTGTGCAGGAGGCTCCTTGCAATGAAGGGAGGAGGTGTTTGTAAGCTCTGAATCTCAGGTGTGTTTGACATGCTTCAGTGGCAGTGAATATAGGGTTTATGTTTCCGTGTGTCAGTGTTGAACTACATATTTGACACACAATGGAAGCTACATTTATTATAATTGATGAGAAGGAACATGTTTGTGAAGGGAAATCGTTAAATGTAATAACTGAAAGTGTCATTATTCATAATTTCTTATAACTGCTAACAGAAGGAGAAGAGTTTTGTTTAAAATGTTGATTTAAGTGCTGGACAATGGAAATGTACTGCTTTCTTACTTACCAGTATTCTGTCACAGTCAATGATAGTGTTGAGTCTGTGAGCAATGGTGAGGACGGTACACTCCTTAAACTTGTCCCGGATAGTCTGCTGGATGAGGCTGTCAGTTCTAAAAAGGGAGCAGGGAACACAACACCTCAGCACAAAAAACCTCTTCCTTTAGACCCTTGGGCAGGGATTTTTACTTAACACTGAACAATGGCTCATCAGCAGTGAGGTATGTGCAATAGAGGGCATAAAAAACAAAGGAAAGAAAAGCTCCTTCAGTTAACAAAAGATCGGTTCAGTTTATTTTGACTTTTGTGAAGATTGTTTAGTTTTATTAGACATTGTTTTTCGTGTTATTCTTTTGGAATACTTAGATTTTATATGGTTTACAATAATTTTCTGCCTATTAGAAGTCATACTGTATTAAATGTGTAATTTTTACATTTTGGTTGCATTTTGATGTATTCAACCCTGTGTGGCACAACACAAGTCAACAACATCATAGTTGTGGACTCAAAGAAAAGTAGTTGTGACTAATGAGGATCCAAATGAACAAGTAAATGAATAATTAAATAATTGATAAGCGTATGCTCCAATGATATAATAACAAAATATCATCCTTTTATATAATCCGTTTCCCATCAGGCAATTGGTTGAACATTGCTAACGGCTAAGGGTTAGATGTGTGGCCCCTCTAATGACTTTGAATGTTTTACTTGAATGTGCTATTCATTTATTTGTAGATTTGTTGGAACTAATGTATTGTTTTAGGAATAATTTGGGTTTGTATAACAAAAGTGTAGAATCCTTCACTTGTTGACTCGAGTGTCCTCTGACCTGGGGTCCACATTAGCCGTTGCCTCATCAATGATGAGGATGCGGTTTTTCCGGAGGATGGCCCTGGCCAGACACACCAGCTGCCTCTGGCCCACGCTGAAGTTAGAGCCGGACTCCGTCAGCATCGTCTCCAGCTTATTGGGCAGGTCCTCCAACACGGCCTTCATCTGCACCTGCAGAGAGGGAGAGCAGAGCCCCAACCCTTCATTACCCCTTCATAAAGGCTTCCTGTGGGGATGTCTTTAAAGAGCTATCCAAACACACCCATTAACCGCTTGGCACAATGCAGGGCCAGGTCCACTGATGACCTTGGCCAGTACTCTCTTGTGGCCAGCCTCTAGCTTTAATCCAGGCCACCAAGCCCATTCAGAGGCAGGACCAGGAGCTGAAGCCCTTCACTGTGGGGGGAGCCTTCATCCTGGTTGGCCTGACTGCCCAAACACATCTCCCCCAGCACTTTCAATGGTTCCCAGTTACAAGCCGCACATTGAGCTGGGCCCCATGGCCCTAATGGGATTTCCCCCCATGACTTGTGGCGAGCAGGGAGGCTGAATGGCAGCATTGTATGGGGGGACAGAGGGATCCCCCCCTGGGCCGGCGAGGGGGAATCATTCAGAGCCACGCTGGAGTACCTCTTGGAGTGCATTCCACAGGTCCTCATCTGTGTGCTGCCTGAAAGGGTCCAGATTCTTCCTCATGGTGCCCGTGAAGAGAACTGGGTCCTGTGGATAGATGGATATAGAAAGAGAAGGCCGTGGCCAGTTAAGATAATGACAAGGGGGAAGATGTATGAAAGGGTTAAGACAAGCTTTATAGAGCGCCGCTAGGCAAGGTTTGAAGGGAAGATGTTCACAAAAGGCTTGCTCCTCTCAGGAGCGCTATTCAATGTTCTGGCCAACTATGCTTCAATAAGTTGATCTTTTTACTTGGAAAACCAGAGCTGGTGCGCTAGTGTTGGTGGATAACAACGGTGTGACATTGTCGGAATATATAAGATGGAACAAAAAGGGCCATCTAGTTACCGTACAAAGACTTCCATACAGTAGGTGTATTAGAAATGGTAATCTCAAAATGTCTGGCAAAAAGTAACAGCTTTACTCTGTCAAACGCACAAGCATCTGTCAGGAGGGGTTATCGCATCAGTTGTCTACCCTCAAGAAAAGGACAGCCTAAGATCTAAGACAGCTAGGATGTCAAAGATATGTATTTATGGTGAGCCACACACCTGTATCAAGGTTTAGCCGCACAGTCATCTTTACGAGAGTAAATAAAGCTCTTTATTACAGCACAGAGGAACGAGCCCACAAGTCCAAAGGCACTTTTCTAACATGTCACTCAGTTCGTGGTTAACCTGATAAACAGGCATGAGCCGGCATCTTCTCGTGTCAGGTCAGATATGTATTCATAAATCCTGCTTCAGTGTTGAAGTGATTTACTGAACACTTTCCTCTTACTATCCCAGGTCCTCATACAGAGACAGTCTTGCCTCTCATGGTACAAAGCTGCTTTAGATAAGCTTTTCATATAAGCTTTTTTTTACTATCAGTGAACAAAAACAGCTGTGCTTTCCTTTGAAACATGAAACAGAATTGATGACACCTAAATGGTTATAATGGCTATTTGAAAAAAGCTGTGAGGATATATGGCACAGCAACAGAGGTGACGCATAGCAGCAAGCTACTGCCCATAACAACAACTGACCAACTTCAACTGTATCCTCATCACAGTCAAGGCTATACAGTACAGTAATACCTCCAGTTTACTCAAGCTATGAATCTCACCTAAAGCCAAGATAGGAATTATTCACCTGGCAACTGTGAGATTAGACCAGGAGTTTGAGTACACAATGAGTCTAAAAGGTTAAGTGTCCTGCGTTAAGGTTTCCGGCTTCTTGTATTTATGTGACTCACCTTCATCTCTGCTCTCTTACAGGTCACAGCCACAATCACAGATACATTCATTGTACACGCAGCACACATCCCTTATATACAAAATCATGTTTCAACAAACCTCCATGTATGTCAGAAGACTCTGGACTAACTGTTTAATTTTCCTGCAGAAAGAATAAAGCTTTCCGGACTTCATCCCTGCTACCTGCGCCTTAGAAAATGTTCCACCTCTTTACTTCCAATGAACTTTTCCTTCTGTCACCAAAATACCACCTTGTCATTAAGCCAGCTGAAGTCCCAATTCAAACTAGTTTTGTGACACACTTTAATTGAGGATTCAATGTTAGGTCGGAAAAACTGCTTTCAAGCACAGCTTTCTATAGACCGATTATGTGCTCCACCAATTCTAAGCCCTCTGTTTGCCACAGAATTCATTTTTACTCAGTCATTCCTGAGAATTCAATAGAAACTGAAATGGATCCTTTTTTAATGCCATATGCTAATAAAAGCTTATCATAATAAAATCAGTGGGTGGCAAATAATGAAACTCACTGGCAATGTATAGTATACATACAGTTTCACACTCAAAGTCCCACATGAGAAGGTAAGGAAAATAGCAAGTTATATCAAGATTTCTTTCCAAGTGAAAGGCTGACACTTATCTCTGACGTCTCGCAGGAAAATAAAAAGGCTTTCAGATGGATTTGTGTAAATCCAAGAGACTTTGCTCTATATACGTTTGTAAAACTAAGAGAATGATACTGAAAAACCTTACTAGGACTTCATATCATGGAAATGCCATCCTGTATGTGATACGGATGAGCATGAAGTTTACATTCTGACTTGCAACCTGCCACTTTGTACAACTCTCTCCCTCTAGGAGAGAAGGAAAGAGTAAACAAAATCTCATCAAACTCACATCACATCCATCTCAACCTACTTTAGACTGGGAAGTTAAACTTTATCTGAAGAAGAAGGAATGCCAGAAACCTATCAAATCCAAAAAAAAAAAGCATTAATGAAACTGTTTTAGGGCATCTTGGCTGCACCCTGGAAATGTTTGAGACTTGGGCTAAGTGACGGTGTACAAGGGGACTCTGACTGTGAGGATGGGGGAGACTTCTTCTAAGCAGCTTTCCCATGTTTGGGGGGTAGAGGGCTAATCCTCTGTCAGGGATGGGGAACTGCTCTCTTCACAGTACAGGCCGTGGGAGTCTTCTCCCCTCCCTCCACTCTGCTTACACTCACCCGCAGGCTGGCATTTTCTTAATGCCGTATCAGTTTCAACAAGCGGAAATAAAGTTAAACTGTCTCAAGGCATCCGTTTGTCTCACTTTCAGAAATCCCCTGAGAGACGACTGTACATTTCCTCACTTGTTCTAGCTTTTTAAAAGCCAGGCATATAAAAAAAAATGGCAACATCATGTAGGTGACTTAAAATTATTCATCTTACAGTTTTGAAATTTCTCAATCAAGAAGAATAAAAAAAGGCCATATATGTCAAGTAAAACTCCATTAGTTTAAGGAAAGGACAAATACATTATATGCATTGTTATTCCATGCTGAAAGTTGCATTCTCGGGTGGTTCTAACTATATATACCGTATATATTTTTATTATATTTCATTACATTTATCCACTGGTTACCATATGTACTGTCACGGCCAATGTTAAAAGGGCACCTGTGGAATGATGGACATTTTCTGGCGCAGGGTGTGGAGGCCTATCTCAGAAGTCAGAAAGCCATCAATCATTATTCGTCCCTCGGGTTCTGCCAGCCGGAACAAAGCGGAGATCAGGGAGCTTTTACCAGCACCAGTGCGTCCAACGATGCCAACCTGCAGTGGAGAAATTACAACATTTATTAAATCTGAAAGAAAACGTGTATTCACAAGCCTCTTTTTCTGCTCTTTTGGGCTAATAATTATACATATTCTTTTTATTCAATATCACTGAGGAAGCAACTCCTATGTCTAAGTATAATAGAATATAATAATAAATAATATGAAAACATCAATACACTTTAAAAACTACATTGATGTCCTTATCTTTGCTGGTTTATCACATGAGCAGGATTTCCATCAACTATCATCTTGTTTCAGACCTTTTGCATGTTTATGTAGTAAATGTAGTATAGTTTCATGCAGCACATGCTAATTTCTCTATTTTGGTCAAATGTGCAGTCATTTTAACTCGAGTTTTATGATTACAAGTAAAGTAATTAAACAAGGCTATAAAAACGTTATAGGCTACCGATCTTTTGTATGTGTTTTATGTACTGTAAAAGTCACCCGATCGAGAAGTATACAAGCCGAGTGCAGACGTGAACACCACTTCTTTACAATTTACCTCAAAATCCTTGAGACGAAAAGAAAAACAACTTTACAGAATCCTCTCTGTGAATAATATGAATTGTTGTGTACATAATTATTTTCATGTAAATATATTGTGAATCTCTTATTACTTTGTATTGTTGTATTTCTATTATTAGTATGACTAATCTCTGAGTATTCCAATTACCTTTAACATGTGTGCCTGAGCAAATGGCAAATAAAGTTTTGAAACCCCTTGTGACCGCATGTCAAGAAAATCTCACTAACACATTTGCTGTGAAAACAGAAAATACCAGATCTCTCTTATGAAAAAGCTGCAGCAAAGAGTGTACAGACATGATTGAACTGCTAACAGCAGAAGCAATCTCCTTGTTTAACAGAAAACGGGTATTGTGGAAGAATGATTTGAAAAGGCTTCACCACAGTGCCAAAATATCCTACACACACAAACATCTTAGAATCCAGACATATGCGTTTCACCCAGGTAGCAAGGATAAAAAGGTTTAGATATTTAGCATTAACAAAGGTTTCAAAGGAATGTTTTCAAAGGGAAAATACTCTAAACAAAACATTGTTGCAACCACTGACTCACAGAAGGAGCTGCTGAATGGGAGCTACACACATTGGGTCATCCTTTCTCAGCAGAAGAGTATTCACTCTGCTAGTCAACATAGAGGTTCATGGTCTATAAAGCATTACATGTATTGAGACGTTTATGATTCTTTCAAATTCTAAAGCTCTTTGTAAGTTTCTTTTTTATAAAGAAATATTCTCGAATGAAATGTTTTGCTCTCTATAAACTGTTGCATAAAGTTGCTGGAGGAGGAAGTGACCTTGTTTTAATATTACTGGGCTTGAATTGAATTGCTCTCATGTCACAGGGACCACAGGAAGAGCCATCTGCCCGTACCTGGCCGGGCACAACTCCATCTCTGTCTAATTAAGCAATTTTTAAGGAAAACAAAGTTGCTAACATTATGCTAACACAAATCGGTGCAAGGGCATAGCTAATGGAGGATGGCCCATGCCTATAGCCATACACTCGCTTACATCCTCTCAAATGATTTGCAATATCTCCAAACCTAAACAAATAAGGTGTTTATTGAACTATTAGTGTATTTAACAAAAATAATTGAACATAGCTACTCAATGACTGACCGTTTTACTGTATGGCAGATATGTTTACTTTTAGAGCAGAAAATACACAGGTGTTAATATTAACATGACTCAACTTTCCCAGTAAGCCAAGCCATGGAGTGAGCATGCCCAATATTAGCTACTTGAGTAAGAACTGGAAAAGACTGTTTGAATGTTTAAGAGGAAGACAAAAAACGTTGACACCAAAGCAAGAGGCATTAATGCCCTTTCATCAAGGATATACAATTAATTCCTAATTGAAAGAGAATTAAAAAAAAAGAATTCAAAGTATAACCAAATAAGAATATTGACTGTCTTAAAAGAACCGTCTCAACATGGATTTGAAAATGGTTGAGAACTGGTCGGTCACACTTTCCTTAACATTCATCAAACATCTTATTAGTCTTATTAGTCATCTTGTTATCTTATTTCAGATCAGCACTTTAGAAACCTTAGTGGAAATTACATAATATTGTATTTAGCATAGTACAAATTTAAACGAGGACTGTGCACCCTTGATTTTTTTAAATGAGCAATATGTTCCTACTAATCCGATTCTCGCTCAATGATGGGAGGTCAACTGAGGTGTTGCATTTAGTTGTTTGGTTTATATGATTATGTACACCTTGTGACTAATGATGGCCGGAGTGGATGGATCTTGTACTGTAGGTTTTTCTTGGGAAAGGGTGTCAGAGGAACTGTCAGGATGCACAAAGCCTTTCCCCCCCATGGCATGTGGCAGAGATCCCTCCCATGGGCTGTCAGAGCCAGGGCCTCTACACTTATCAACCCATCCATTGTGAAATCAGCCGCCCTGGCCAACCATAGCCATGCAAAATACACCCACCCCCTGCATTAAACACAGTTTCAATCATCCTCAACCATCTCCCTCCGCTTCCCTCTCTCTCCTCCCTCGCCCCTCTCCCTCGGCCTCTCTTCTCTCTTATAGTGAATAAACAGTTGTCACCGTCAGGTAGCTCAAAATGCAAATTGGGAACAAATGGATCCACTTGAACAGTCTTAATTACATGATATGTATTCCATGAATCACAAATGGTATAGTCCTGAAGATTCAGCAGTACAATATGGTGTCCTTTTAATAATTGATTTGAAAATAATGCCACATAAAAAGAATCACATCACGCCTTCTACACTAGCTGCATATCAATCTAAGTCATGGGCTGTGCACACCAGTAAGCTTGCACAGGTGGGAATAAAGACAAGAACCTTTTCTCTGGATGGGAAGACGACAGTCAGGTTCTTTAGGACCAAACGCTCCCTGGGACTGTAAGAGAAGTTCACTCTGTCAAAGGTGATGGAGCCTGCCTCTGGCCAATCATGCGGAGGCTGTTTCTCCGTCTCCCAGGGTGCTTCACTCTCCAGCTCTGCATACTCAACCACTCTCTCCACTGATGTCATCTATACAAAATAAGGCAATGATTATCGCAAAACGTGTCAAAATACAGAAGACTGTAGTTGTAAAGACATTTTTCAAATATATACATTTTGCTCCTTTGAAACAATAAACCACAGCAGTACTTCAGATTCAGAAAACCTACATTTTAAACAAAAAACTGTAAACTTTACACCCTGCTGGCATTTCTTAAGTCTCAAAATAATCACATTCAACCAGTGAATATGTATTATAAAGTAGTACTCCATTCATATAATTGTACTTCCATAGATTTAAAAAGGGACTGGCCAAATATAAAACAGCAGAGGCTGAGATGTGTTGACCGTCCAAATGATCCTTAATTTCCCACAATGCAACACCTACTGCCACACAGCAGATTCAAATGTTTGTAACCCTCCTGTATACAGCTTAGTTTTTTAAAGTTTAGAAGATACTTTTCTCCTTATTGAATGTGTTGAACCTCATGCACCTTATACACACACATCAGCAAACAGATGCATTGTGAGACACAGCTTTTGTTCCATACATGATAGTTTATGTTAGCTTTTATTTGTAGTGTAGGCACTTAAGCTAACCCACCTCATACTCAAGTTGGTCTTTAGTAGTGATGTTACGTATTGCGCCGAGGCTTCGGAGCGTGTGTCGAGTAATCCCTGAAGCTTTTTGTGAAGCTTGTATCGAAGCTTATATAATTTTGGGCCAGTGACGTCACCGATGACAAACGAAGCCTCGCTGCCCCTCAATACCACGTGACCGCTTCAGAAAGTGCTTTAGATCGGTTGAACCACAACGCTCATATTACCAATGGATGTATAATAAGAACGGTATAAATATTACCCTTCCTGACCTGTACCCGGGCCCGGTGACACGATGGAATTAAGAGAGCTCAGACCCTCACTCGGAACATGTCATAAGTATAAATAAATAAAAGCATAAATAAATGTAGGAATAAAAACATGAATAAATAAATAAATGAATAAATACAGGAATAAATAGTATTCAGTTTTTTCAGATGGATTCAGTGCGTGTGCTGTGGCTCAGCTGGAAAGCAGCTGACAATCAACCGCAGGGTCCCTGGTTCAACGACTGTTCAATACGTCTTTTGTTTTGTTTATAAAAGCTACAGCTAAATGAAATAATGTAGTTAATAAATGTATTCTTTGATATGGTTTAGCTTTCTCAGGCTACAACATGGTTACGTTTACAAATATTATTAAGGCATACACATCCCTCTTTGCAATGTTTACCAGCCTCCTAAGGCTTTTCAATCACAATCATTAAACTGGAATAAATACAATATTATTAACATGAAAATAT